GGTCTCTGAGGAGCTCGCGGTCATTGCGGAAGGCTCCCTGTTGAGCAAAGTGTTTCCCTCCACAAAAGAATATCACAACCAGCTTCCACAAGGCCTTCAGTTTTGGACCAAGCGCAATGGTCTACCTTCCACTAAATTCCGAGATCTCTGACCTGTGCCAAAAACTCTGGACAGAGCATTCAAAACAGGTCACGTGCCATATTACCAAATCCTCCATCAACCAATTCCAAAAAACCTTTGAAGGTGCCATCTTCCATTGTGAAGATAAACAGTCCTCATCCTTGCGCATCTACTGCCAGTGCCTCTACTACCAATCCATCGAACAAACATTCCAAGATCCTTCCATTTTCGAACCAGTGCCCCATGACCCAACTACCATTGTGTCATCACTTGTTGAGACCCTCCAAAAACGACACGGAAAATCCTATCACTGGGCAGTTGGTAACGGACGACGACTACCGTCGGGTTACATCTTGGCAAAACGGAAGAAAGAATTTCGAAGTGGCAGACCCATTATTTCCTTTGTGGACTTTCCGTTCCGTCCCATGCTTAACATCCTTGCTCGACTCATCTTCCAGTTGATCCCAGTGGCCTGCCGAATCACTTTGCGTCAGGGGATGTCTACACACTCCTGACCATTCTCAAGTCAGCGCCTGTCGACGCCGATCTCATCCTGGTCAACCAGGATCTAGCTGGATTCTTCACCAGCATTGACCAAGACCGATTCGTGGGCGCGTGGTTCATGCTCCTGGACTTCCTTCGACCCCACATGAATGTGTCCGACAATGGAGCATTTTCGGTCTATCCAGGAAAAACCAACAATCCAGGTGACATCATAAAAGGACGCACCTTCCGTCGTCTCAACGTCACTCGAAAGATCATCATCAAGGACGTTCCAGATCTAATCAAGTCAGCATTGAATATGCAAACATTCGCTCTTGGCCAAACGCCACTGCCGAGGCAGCCCCATGGGTAGTCCTCTGTCCCCAGCCCTATGCCTCATGGTTGTCTCCATCAGTGAACAAATATGGCCCATCAATTTTAAACAAGTCCTGTCCAATCACAACCTGTTCATTCGCCACATTCGCTACGTGGACAACCGCCTCATCTTTGGGGACGAATACTTATGTCCTTTCCTGTTTCATGTTGTTGACAACAAGGGTTATTTCCAGCAGGGGGCCACGGCTCCATTCATCAGTCCGTGGCCAACGAAGCTACTGATGTTTGGAGAGGATATGCAGTCTGATCAACTGCACGTACCTGCTTTCATTCTCATTTTACTTCAATTTCAGAAATGGGACGTGGCCAACCCAAGAACCACCATGCCGTTTTCAAACAATTTGTTTTCTTTTTTCCTCGTTGGCACGGTTTTCGCAATCTGATTTTCCAATGTCAATTGAGGAAGATCGAGCTGCATCAGAACGGTTTGATTCATTTAGCAAGGACGTAGAGCGATTTACTTCGCACAGTTTCTCACTTCTGGTCATCCAACCAATCCTGTCAGGTTTAATTGAAGTGTTTTTTGCACGTACGATGCATTCCACATCAGAATTTGCAAAGATGTTTCTGAGCAAGTGTGTGTGTGTGTGTACCATCTGAATAGATGTAAAACTTCTATATTTTGCAGGGGGGCAACAGCCCATCTTCTAATGTTGCCCAACGAAGCTACGGAAGATGTGGTGGATGGGTTCATGGACGCATGAACCTGTACCTGCTTTATATACTTATATAGTCCTGCCCCTGGGCCATTTAAGACGCAGCTGGGGGGGACATATATATTTTATCGCTGTTGGTTTTTACGGTCAATGTCTACTGTGATTATACGTCTTTATATATATATATATATACAGTGTAAAGTTCATTCTTCGTGTCAATTAATTGTTAGTGTTTTTTGCACGTCTGTTGCATTCCACATCAAAATTCAATAAGACTGTTCTGAGCAAGTGTGTGTGTGTGTGTGTCAACTCCTGTGCTCTAAGGACTTCGCAAGCTCCAATTTCCTTTATTTCGCAACCATCCAGCATGCTGGAAATTCACAATAGAATTTGACGACGGCGATCCACAAAGAAGACGGCGAAGGTATCAAAAGAGAATGGTGATTTCAGAATAGCATGTTTTGCCCGTGGCGGTTTGCATTTCAGCGTCGCGCGTTTCCAAGAAATTGGATCAGTTTTGAAGAATGCACGCATTCAACATGTATACATGTAATGTAGATCATGAGATGGTGAAGTCAGGAAGAGGATGAGCGCGGAGAAGCGTACGATTTTGCGCATTGTGTTTCTCGTGGAGAAGTCCGAAAGATGACGACTTCACAGATACTTCCGGCGTTCCCACGCAGCGACTTTACTTACGATGTTTTCGATTTTCGAGCCTGCAGGGGGTGCCAGGGATCATTGCAAGTCTGGCACTAACAAAGACGCTTTGATCTGTGATATCAGAAAGGGACACCTTTCTGACGTACCTGCACATTTGAAACTGTAAATCAAGCTGTTGCAGTCAGGCTGTTTAGGTAAATCAGGTCAGCTACACTCCTTCGTGTCCCTGACATCGAAGGCGACTTAGGAATACAGGTCAGAATATACAGTGTGTACTTTCAGGTGTTGGACCTTACTTGGTCTCACCGCAATCTTCTTCATGAAATGCAGTAACAGTTTTTCAACCAAGTAGGTATCAAGCAGAGGAACAAGCAAACAGAGGAACTGCTTAAGCCTGTCATTTTTACAGCTCAATTTGCGACCCTGATCCTTCATCTGAAGGTGACTGGGATACCAGTGTGTGTGTGTGTGTACCATCTGAATAGATGTAAAACTTCTTATTATCGCAGGGGCGTGTGGCACTCACGTCCTACCACACGCAATGAAGCTGTGGGCATGAGCGGGAAGGGAAACGTGGCCGGTTTCAGGCCCCTGCAGATTATATATATATATATACATATATGTATAGTCCCGCCCCTGGGCGCGTTTAAGTCGCACCTGGGGGGACTTATAGTATATCGCTGTTGTTTTTTACCGTCAAAGTCTACTGTGTTTATTTATATAAATATATATATATATTTACATATATATTTAGGTTCATCTCATCGTGTCATGTTGTTGCATTGGTGTTTTTGCACGTCTGATGCATTCCACAGCAAAATTCGCAACGACAGTTCTGATCAAGTGTGTTACTCATGTCGGTTCCTCCAGGTGACATGAGCCCTTCGGGGAATACCTGTCTGTCTAGGTAAGATGTTTGACCCTCCGACCTGATCTCTGAATTTACACGTCTAATCTAGTAACGCGCATAAGTAAAATGAAACAGCCGGCCATTTTTCCCCTTTTCACCCTGTCGTTTGTCGTTGGTTGAACAACTGGCCGCAGTACTGGGCTTCGCCTTCTTTCGCTTTTCAACCTGTCGTTTGTCGCTGGTTGAACAACTGGCCGCAGTACCGGGCTTCATTTCCTTTTGTCAGCCGTGGAAGCCTCCTTTTTCCAACGTTGCTCGAGAGACAGATCGCCGTCACTGGTTTTCATACAACATGTGAAGTGCAGGCAAAGGTCATGCTTTCCAGGTGTGGTACTTACTTTCTTTTGATGGTCGTTAGTGAGGTTCAATTTTGCACTTAATTCATCTGTGGACTACTGACAGCCGTCTGTAGAGTTGACTTGACCACCGAGGGCCTTGAGCCTTATCACGACACTTTGCATTAGTTTTGTGGCTGCATCATTGTTCACTAACAAGTCCCCAATTGGTCCCCTATCTCATGCGTGCTCCCATGTTAGGCCAGGTTGGGGTCCTTCGCGGGCAAGGTAGGTTTGGCTCTCGCCTTGCGCTTCTGTCCGCCCCCTCCTCCTCTGGCGGTTTTTGGCCCGTCGTCCGTCCGCTTTTTCTTTTTTCCTTGCCCTTTCAGGGTTTGCCCGTTCTGGGCTATAGGTGTGTTGGTGTTGGTGTTTTCTCCTTTTTTCCTTTCTTCTTTTGCGTTCCCCGTCTCGTGTCCCGGTTAGGTAGTTTGTCATCTCATGTTCATTTCCATCTCATTTTCATTTTCACTTCATCCACCCTGCTGCGGCAGGGTGGGTGTGTGTGTACCATCTGAATAGATGTAAAACTTCTTATTATCGCAGGAGCGTGTGGCACTCACGTCCTACCACACGCAATGAAGCTGTGGGCATGAGCCGGAAGGGAAACGTGGCCGGTTTCAGGCCCCTGCAGATTATATATATATATACATATATGTATAGTCCCGCCCCTGGGCGCATTTAAGTCGCACCTGGGGGGACTTATAGTATATCGCTGTTGTTTTTTACCGTCAACGTCTACTGTGATTCTATTTATATATATATACATATCTTTATATTTAGGTTCATCTCATCGTGTCATGTTGTTGCATTGGTGTTTTTTTGCACGTCTGATGCATTCCACAGCAGAATTCGCAACGACAGTTCTGATCAAGTGTGTGTGCGTGCGTGCCCGTATGTCTAAATGTATGCAGCGTATGCATATGATTATGTTTTGAGATACATTTATCAACGCATATCTAAAAAACATACGTATGCAATTCAGTTTTGTATGTAATGAATGTATTGAATGTATGTGATTGTTTAATGCTGCGTGGTGCCACGTAGCGGTAGCGCAGAAAACAAAGTCTAGTGTAACATGGTGTCATGGTGTAGTGCAGCGTAATGTAGAATGATGGAATGGGATGGATGCATTATACGGACTGTCCACTACTCATGCCACAATGTCATCCCATGCGATGGCATGTCCTGTCCGTATGATGCAGCTGTGCTGACGCACTGATGCAGGCAATGACTAGCTCTGCAGAAGCAACCCATGACGCCGAAGTACCTGGAGTTCCCGATTCTGACAAGGCAAGCGCCAATCCTTTATGGATGAAACATGATGAAACACATGTTGTTGTGTTTCCAATAGTTTTGACCATTCTTTTCTGTAAATAATGATCGACGTTGGTGGGACGGCAGCAGCACCGATGTGGAAACGCGTCTCAGCTGCTGAAGCGCATGTCGCAGCTAGTGACAGTCCCTCGGGAGGTTTATCTTGGGGCAGTCAAATCCTACAACGACCGCAGAGGCTTTGGATTTGTTGCATGTGCCTTGACTGCAGTGAAGAATCAGATGATTGCAGGCCCATTGCAGGCCAACTGTATTGAACAAATGTGCGTCTTTGTGCTCTTAAACGAGGTGCTGAAACCGCGGCAGAGTTTGGAAGAGATGTGCTCCGACCTGTGACAGAGAGGTTGTCAAGATTATTCTGGGCGGGCGAATGGTCACCTACTGACTTTGGATTCTTTGCGCAGAGGTGGCAGAGCTGAACTTGGACTGTGCGTACTTGTCAGATTGCAGGTATACATGGCCAAACTTGAGGCAGGGATACTTTTGCTGCCAGCGTAAAGAGGGGGAAAGGTGTGGAAAGCGTGAAGAGGAAGGGACATTGAAAGAGGGATTTGCAGAACTTGCAGCGGAAAGCGTTTTTCTTCCCTGATTTGAATTTGCTTTTGACTTCTCCATATCTGCAGCGACTCTGGCTTTGGACATGTGGAAAGGCATTTGAAGTACAGTCGCGGACAGGCAAACATTTTTCTACACACACACACACATTCAAACTTCCACTCACAAGCGCTCACAAACATGATTTTTGTCTTGAAAGCGGGTGTACAAACAGGTGAGTTAAATTTGTTTCTCACGTTTCCGGCAACTGCTTGTGTTGCGGGCACAGTAGAAGCCATCTGGAGGCTGGCTACTAAAAATGGCAGATTGATATGTACATGATGTGTATACTAATATGTATACATTCTGTATATATGTATTTATATGTAATGTAATGTATTGTAATGTGTTGTAATGTATTATCGTGTTGTGTTGTGTTGTGTTGTGTTGTATTGTATTGTATTGCACTGTATTGTATTGTATTGTATTGTATTGTATTGTATGTACTTGAATATTGTGGGGTAAACACACCTACATATTCATTAGCAAACCCTTCCTTTCCAGTCAAGGTCCAATTACTGACTTTTGGCTCAAGATGGTTAAAAAGGCTGCAGCCGTTGCCCTCGGTGCGGGTGTTTGCCTTTGCAGCTTGTTCTTTTTGGGGTTGGTGTTGTTAAACAACAATTCAATTGGTTATCAGCCGTAGTTTGCTTTTGTTTTACCCCAAGACTTCATCTGACTTTTTTGTGGTTGGCAGGCACCCTAAAAGCCTGCACATGGATTCGGATCCGTACGACGAGTTTGCCAGACAGCACGGTGACGTTGCTGGCAGGACTCGCGGGATCTGCTCTGGCAAGGCTGCCCAGAGAAAACGCAAGGCGTATATACGCCATCGCGTAGCTGAGGGGGAGGATCCGGAGCAGGTGGCGGTGCGCCAGGGTGGCCAGGCGAGGCCTCTCTACACGCCTCGGACTTGAGAGCCGAATCTTGATTCGTCTGGCAACGAGGCGGAGGTGGTGTATCCGGAGCCTCGGAGGTCGCTCAGCGAGTTGGGCTCGGTCAATCTGGTTCCCCAGTCGGCGTTGTATCAGCCTGTGCGTTCAGTTGGACTGGTTCCTAAGGCACGTGGTTCTTCTGATCCCTACGGAAAAGGGTTGTGTCGACATCTGCAAGGCCTAAGGCTAGTTCTTCTGGGTCATCTTCCTCTTCAAGACCGCAAGTGATCACAATCGAGGACAATTCTGGTGAGCCGGCAGCAGCATCATCGTCTCGGGTTGACCCTTATTATTTCTCTGGGACTCAGTGGTACAAAGCATTTCCTTTTCCAGGACTTCCGCCTGTTACTGAGCCTTTTGGTTTTCGTACTACGGATCTGACTCCAGCAGGACTGCATTCGAGTGTGAAATCACATCTGTGGTCGCAAGACCAAACCTCTCTGGTGAAGGTTGAGGAGGATATCCCAAAGTTGCCAGGATCGGCAATTGTGCTGGATTGGCATCAGGTGGTTGGCACCGACCGCATCACGAGTCGGCACACTGAGTGGGTGGACACTGGCTGGCAGATTCCTCAGAGGCACAGGGCTACCTTGACTGAGTTGAGCCACCTGTGCCAGCAATCTGAACGCCCGATCCATTTGGTGATTTGCAGCCACATTGAGTCTTCTTCTCGAAGCCTGGAGAACGTGATTCACGCCACGGAGCAAAGCGGTCTGCCGGTGCAACTGGTCTTGATCACGACCCAAAGGACGGGTCCAAAGGGGAAGCTTGCAGCACTTTGTTCAGTGATCAGCGGGAAGTTTTGTTTTTTCGAAGACAGCTTGGAAATCACTCAAGAGTTTTCTGAAGCAAGTCGACCCATCGCACAGGTCTTGAAGCCAAGGACACGTCGATCCCATCTCTTGAGACAGGAGTGCATTGGCTGGTCGATCTCTTCCGAAGCATTGTTGTCGACTGCAAAGCAGTTTACGCGATATTTTTCCAGGAGCAGTGCCTGAAGTGCCTCGCTGCTGTAAGGCTGCGTCAGCGCCACAGCGGGAGTACCGTGCTCCAGATTTTATCGGCATTTTGCTGTGTGCTGGTCTTCAGGGTCTCGGCATTTTGGTTTGAGGTTGAACCCAAGACTGCGAGTTGAGTTCTCGGCATTTTGCTTTGAATGTTTTTCAGAAGTTTGGCATTTTGCCACGGCAATATCATCAATATGACATCATCATTTGACTTCATCAGCATGGCAAGTCTCGACAACCTTCATTTTGGAATTTGATCGTGATTTGCCTTGAGCCTTTCTTTTGCAAGAGCCCGCATTTCTTGAGTATCAACCGCAAGCCCAGGGTGTCTCACTGCAGTTGTCTCACAGCTGGATTGTTTCACCGCAAGCTTCGTCGGTTGTTTCACTGCGTCATCAGCGGTGGTTTCACGCAAGCGCATTGGAATTTGGATTTTGCCATTTGGTTTGAGTATATCTTGGCTCTTGCATTTCTGCAATTGATTGCATTGAATGCATTTAATTTTTTCTTCATTTGATCGTCCTGCACCCCGCACCGCATAGCTGCGTCAGCGCTTCAGTGAGAAGGGTTTGCCTGGATTTCTTTTGGACTTCTGATCCTCCACTACCACCTTGTTTGGCTGCTTTGAGCGCCACGGTGGATTGACTGCCTTGGACTGTCCTATTGATCACGTGCGGAGCCGTGCTTATCTATTTGTGGACTTTCTATTCAGTCATGTCAAGTTCAGATCCCACATCGAATCTCGACAGTTTGAACGTTAGTAGTGAATCAAGGGACGTTCCAGCTGCAGTTGGAGAAGCATCATCTCAAAGGTCCAACCGAAGTGCGTCGTCAACACCTCGGCGTGCCCGTTCCAAAAGTTTGCAAGGGCAGGGACAAGGAAGACGCAACATGTCACAGGTTATCAAAAGTTTGCCAAAGGTTCATGACTCTGGTAGGCATTCGGCAGTTGTTTCAACTGGCCATGGAGTTGGTTCAGAATCCCAACCATCGCAGTTGCCTTCGGATTTTCCTTCCAGTGGGCCCCAGACTTCTGTTCACAACACCGTTGAATATCATGATCAGCGATCCCAACAAGTGAATGTTGGAGTAGATCCCACGGTTTTCTCAAATGTGGTGTCTGAAGCTCGACGGGTCATTCAAGAATCTGAAGAGAAAGCCCAAGGTTTGGAGCAACCAGCCCAAGAAGTTTACCAGCAAGCATGTAGTCGCATTCAAGAACTTGTGAATCTTGCCGAAAGTTTGTACCCTTCCAAGTGTTCCAAGACTTCTGAGATTGAAAGGCTTCAGAGGGATGTCCAATCAACCCGGGATCAACTTCAAGTTCAAATCAACCGCATTCAAGCCATGGGATTTCAGATTACCCAGTTTGAGTCCCAGATGTCCAATATCCAGAATTTGTTTGGTCACAAGGATGCTGAGATTACACGCCTGATGTCCGAAGTTTCCCGTCTCCAATCGAGTGAAGCCCGACTTGAGGAGAGACTGGCAGCTCTAAGCGCCGCTCCCTATGCCGTAGCAACAAGCGTTGAGGCACAGATGAGGTCTGCCCAGGTAGATGTCGTTGCAGGGAATCATGGTGGGGCAGTTGAACGTCGTGTTGTTGAAGATCCGAATGATCCACATGCCAATGACAATGTTTTCCAATCATCAATGGAGCAAAGATTGGATTCAATGATGGCAGCCATTCAGTGTTTGTCAGACAGAATGGTTCACTATGAGCAAACTGGTACGGGTCCTAATCAAACGAGCCCCGACGGCAACAACCGTGCTCCACAGCCTCTAGGTCTTCGTAATTCAGTTGGCCCTCCTGAGCCGCCTCCAAACGACGGTGACTGGCTAGAGGGGTGATGAGGAGGAACTTGTTGTTGAGGAAAAGACTGAGCGGGATCTTGTTGACAGCCGTGCCCTTCAAAGTGCAAAACTGGAGCCATTGCCCAACAATGCAGCCGACTTCAGACTTTGGAAAAATACCCTGATATTGATGTTAGGCGGTCTTGACATCAGTGGAGTTGACTATCTTACTTCTTGGATTGCCGTTGCCTGTAAGGTAGACTCTGCTCGGGAATGTTCTGACTCTTCGGGTCTTGTTCCAAGGCTGGGCCGATGGCTTGCATCAGAGCTCATCAAAGGCCCGAAAGGTGTTCTGGAGTTGCAATTCAAGGTCCAGGGTTACATTGAGAGTTGTACCCGTCAAAGTCTTGCTCCACGAGGCCGGGCAGTGATTCAAATGATCTCTAGACACTTCGACCTCGACAGGCGCTGATTACTTCTCAATCGGTATTTTGATAGAACTCAATGGATACTCAGTGGCTGATTTGCAAGTTTTCTTCCAGCCTTATGAAAAGTTGCAGGAGTTTCTGGTCGAGGAACGTGAAGATGTGAATGCCCGATCCATTGAGCAATCCCGACGCAATCCAAAGAAAGGAGATAAGCCTAAGGCAAAGACTCCAGCAGTCCCAGCAAAGGCCTCTCCTGCCACGTCTTCTGTAGCTGCCGCAGTGAACTCTCCAAAGCCCAAAGATGCCGCAAAAGGGCCACCCAAAAATGCAAAGGGCAAGTCAAAGGGAAAGCTTGGAAAGCCGATGTCGGTTGAGGAAAAGGCAAAGACTCCGTGCATATTCCATCAGATGCCTAATGGTTGTGTTCATGGGGATAAATGCCGGCCATGTGAAACCCCCTCCTGCAAAGCCCAAAGACTCAAAAGCCGATTCAAAAGCCAAGCCAAAGTCTGCGGCTACGAAAGTCACAGCAGCCGTTGCGATCGTTGCGGCATTGAGCTCCATGGTCGCTCCGTCTCATTTGGAACCCTTGAGTGGGCCGCTGACACCGGCGCAGGTCGACATTTGGTGTCGTACGAAGCTGTGCAGGAACAGGGATATCACAGTTCCCTCTTTTCCGGATTTGCCAATGACTCTCATGAAAAGTTGAATTTCTCAACAGGTGGTGGTTTCAAGAAATCGTCCAACACTATGGGGTTTCAAGACCAAGATGGGATTTTAGGTGATGCCAGCCATTTCCTTTTGGATTCATGCCCAATGGTTAGATCAATTGGCCTTGATGTAGAGCAGAATTTTGTCGAACCCCTGTTTGGCTTAAGACTGCTTTTGCCGTTTTGGTACAGGAGGGGGGGGTATTGGTGCACGGCTGGTGCGCGGAAAAGGAAAATAGGGGCAAGGGTGTCTGGGCACGGGAAAATAAGTGCGGCGGGTTCTTGCCGATCCATGGATCCAGTCGGGATCCAGTCGGGATCCCGACTGGTGAAAAGTGCCGCCAAAAAAATGCAAAATTGGTGCCCGACCACGTCCCGACTGGATCCCGATTTTTTCAAAAAAAGCGCATATTTCCCAAAATTTGAGCACCTATTTCTGAAATTTTAGCACCTTGCCGTGCACCCCCCCTCCCGCCCCCCCCCCCCCCGCCAGTCTTAAGCCAAATACGGGCAACTCAAAGCAGAATGGACTAGGTTTCATTTGCATTCCGGGCTCTAAGCCCTTTCTTGTTCGTGACCCCTCCAAGTGCCACATTAATTGTGATGAGGAGAACAAATTTTATGCATCAAGAGTCACTCAGAACGTTCCGTTCTTCCGAAACAATTTCACAATTATCCCTGGAATGCCTGCAACCCATCCCCGGAGGTGGGGATGTCGATGCCTTGTCTCCTCCAGATCTTGCTGTGGAGCCGGTTGCAGTTCCTGAACGTTCATCAGTTGAGCCAGCCGTTGAACCTAGCTTAGATCCTGGAATGCCAAGCGATCCTGCATCCGTGAAACATGAGATTTTAGCTCCTCCTCCATTTGATCACAATTTGACTCATTTTCCAAAATTGTCCACATGTGATGTTTGCAATAGAGCTAGACTTTTTAGCAAAAGGGTCAAAAGTAGGAGAGTGGTCAATGAAGAACTTGATCTTTCAGAGACAGATGCTTTTGGACAACAGTTGGCATGCGACCATTTGACTGTCTTTAAGTCTTCGAGAGGTAAGGAGCATGCAGTTTTGATCGTTCAAGATCGTTTCTCAAAGGTTTCGCAAGCTTGTCCAACCATGTCAAGAGAAGCATCCCAACTCGCATCCAACCTCAAGCATTTTGTCGGCCTGAAATCAAACTCCTACACCATTGTTCGATCAGACGCTGCGGGAGAAATCTTGAAAGCTGTTATTGAAAACAATTGGTTGCCGGAGTGTTCAGTTCCAGCACGTTTCCCTCACATTTTGGAGCGTGAAATGAGAACTTTTCAGGAGATTGCCAGGTCATTGTTTTTGCAAGCAGGTTTTGCTGCCAGGCCCCAGCTCTGGCCTCAAGCCTGCTCCTACGTTGCAGTGGCCATGTCTGCATTCTTAAAAGACAGTGAAGGGAAAACGCGTTGGGAACTTGCTTTTGGAAGGGAGTTTCGTGGACCTCACTATTTGCTTGGTCAGTTGGGCTTTGTCAGAACAAAAGATGCAGGAAAGTTCAAGTTCAGTCCAATTGCAGAACCCGCTATTTTTGTTGGATGGCGATTGGACTTTGGAATGAGGTATCGAGGTGTTTTGCAATTTGTTTTGTATTCTCACCTTCGCGAAGACGCGTCCTCTTATCCTGTATCTCAATTTCATAACACGGACGTTACATGCCTGGAGATGTTACTTTTCCATTGGCCAGCGCAGCTGAAGCTGCCTTGAAGGAACTTGATGACCCTCGACTCACTGAACTTCACGACATTGATGCAGTGCCTGTTCCCTTTGTGGATTCTGAAATCAAACCCAAGACTCGTAGAGTTTATGTGACTTTTGCCCGAATGTTCAAAATCGGTGCCACAAAATTGTGCAAAGGTTGTGAGAATGACAAACCGTCTCACAATCAAGAACGCATTGCGCGCTTTGAAGAAGCCTTTGGTCGTAAAGAAGTGGATTGTTCTTTTGTTGAGCCCGAGGTTCCTGCATCTTCAGAAGTTCCTGCAATAGAGCCAATGCACATCAGTGGTGAAGTTTCTGGTGGTGGTTTTGCAGAAGACTTAGTGCCTGAATGCCCGCCTCCATCAGATCCTGATGAGCCATATGAAGCGGAGTCTCCAGTCAAGACTCCTCCTGATGTCTCTTTTCACGAATCCGATGATGATGAAGCTGATAAACCTCCTGCCACCGGCTTAAGTGCTGTAGCTAGTATCGCCTGCGATGCTGCAGCCTGTTTGCCACAGGGAGAAGTGCAGTCAATGTTTCAGGGATCTTTTGATCAGGGGGGTCAGATCGGCTGCCTTGGCGCCACGTCCACCCCTGAGAAGAGGGCTCCAAAACATGGCAAGGGTAAGCACAATCGTGTTGCCAAGGATGTTTTGTTCTGCTTGTGCCAAAGATTCTAATCTTGGCAAAGTTGGACAGGAATGTGGGGTGAGAGTCATCCGGCTGTGTAAGGAGGACATCAACTTGGAAGATCCTTACAGCATCGAGCAGCTTATCGCTCAGGTTGGCGCTTTGGAAGTATGCTCCATCCACTGTTCCATCGAATGCAAGGCATGGAGCCAATGGCAACACTTGAGTCGGGCAAAATACCCAAAACTGACAGCACGAATCCGTCAGGAGCAAGCGGAAAGCGCTGCTTTGGTAGAACAATTTATTCGGGTAGCTGACATCTGCCTTGATAACGGTGGAGATTGCAGTTTCGAATGGCCGCGTTATTGTACTGGTTGGGCATTACCATCAATTCAGTCGTGGATTCTTGATAGGAACTTGCATTCAGCTACTTTCAATGGGTGCACAGTCGGGGTTGAAGCCGACGGCCGGCCAGCAAAGAAGCCTTGGAGACTCATCACATCTTCATCACGCTTGGTCACGAATCTTGCAGCTTTACAGTGTACTCGCAGTAGTCATGCACCACTTCAAGGCAAGTGGACAAGGATGTCAGCCTTTTACCCACGAAAGCTTTGTAAAATTATGGTTCAATCATTATTTCCTCATGTCGTCAATCAGCATGTGTGTATGCCATGTGTTGCAAGATCTCGACGACCTCACCGCCAAAAGCTCCTGCGGGGTATCCCTCAGTTCCCCTTGACATTGCGATGTTCAATGTAGGTTGCAAGGAAGTAGTCACTCCCGCTTATGTTCATCGACTTTTGGATCGAAGTGAATGGAAAGATCGACCAGAGGTTTTGGATGCCATCAACTCGGAGAAGCAAAGGCTTCTTGCCAATGGGACATGGGATGTCAAAGATCCGTCCTAAAGCAGAGGTCTTGGCTGAAGCACGAGCGAAAGGTCAGAAGATTCATGTTGGTGCCTTAATGGCTATAGTTAGCATAAAAGGGTATGAGAAGTCTCCCTCAGAATGGGTCATCAAAGCCCGCATTGTCTTCAGGGGGGTGATGCTGTGCGTGACGAAGCCAATCATGCCGCTGTCTTTGACGATCTAGCAGCTTCTGCGCCCACGAGCCTTGGTGGACTCAACATGATCATTGCTTTTGGACTTGTTGAAGGAAATGCATGTTCGACCTCAGACTGCACTAAAGGATACGTTCAAAGCTTCCTTGACTCATCATGCCCGACATATGTGCTGCTTCCGGCAGAGCTTGTGCCGCCTCATGCCAGACACATTCACCAGCCAGTAGCTCCGCTCATCCGATCATTGTATGGACACCCGTTGGCATCTGCATCATGGCAAAATCACCTTGTGAGTATTTTATCAAAAGAGCTTGGAGGCTTTGAAATGCCAGAGCAGCCCAGCGGTTTTCACTTTCCATCCATGAGTCTTGCCCTCAGTGTTTACGTGGATGACCTGACATTGAGTGGACCACAAAAGAACCACACCAAGTTCTGGTCCACTTTGCAGAAGCATGTTCAACTCGAGGATCCCGCCGAGCTGTCAAAGGTGCTTGGAAGGAATCATGTCTCTTGTGATCAGGGTCTTGCCCTTCACTCTGCAGATTTTGCAAAGCAGTGTGTCGAACTCTATGAACAATTGTCCGGCAAGAAGGTCAAGCACTTTCGCACACCTCCCTTGGTCGAAACTGACGATCAATGTGTTGGACAGTTATCAGCCTCTTCTGCAAAGCTTGTGATGAAGCTTATGTGGCTTGGTCGAATCAGTCGTCCAGACATCATGGTTGCTATTAATACACTTGCCCGAAACATCACTCGATGGAGTGCCAATGATGACAAGCGTGCCGCTCGTTTAGTTGGCTACATCGCTGCCGCAGTTGATTACGCTCATGTCATGCGAATCAACGACCCTCCAGCTAAGCTGTGGTTGTCGCTCTATGTTGACAGTGACTTTGGTTCGTCACCTGACATGAAGTCGACTAGTGGTTTTATCATCGCTCTTGAAGGCCCAGATTCACTTGCTATCATCCTTTGGGGATCAAAAACCCATGTAATGTTTTGTTATGTTTTGTTTTGTTGTGTTATGTTTGGTTATGTATGTATGTTATGTATATTATGGTATGTTTTTTTTGTTATGTTGTGTTATGTAAGTAAGTATGCATGCATGCATGCATGCATGCAGGGTATGTATGTATGTTTTTATGTATGTATTGATGTATGTATGTTATGTATGTTATGTATGTTATGTATGTTATGTATGTTATGTATGTTATGTATGTTATGTAATGTAATGTAATGTAATGTTATGTTATGTTATGTTATGTTATGTATGTATGTATGTATGTATGTATGTATGTATGTATGTATGTATGTATGTATGTATGTTATGTATGTATGCTATGTATGTTTGTATGTCTGTATGTATGTCTGCATGTATGTATGTATGTTTGTTTGTTTTGTTATGGTTGATTTGTATGGTATTAATGAATGAATGTATGTATGTATGTAATGTAATGTAAGGTACTGTTATGTTATGTTATGTAATGTTATGTAATGAAAAGTTAGTCAGTTAGTTAGTTAGTTAGTTACTTATTTAGTTAGTTAAATAGTTAGTCAGTTAGTCAGTTTGTATGTATGTATGTATGTAGGTATGTAGGTATGTATGTGTGGATGTATCTGTGTAATGTAATGTAATGTAGTGTAACGTTAGGTTAAGTTATAATATCTTATGTATCCTTTGTAATGTTATGTATGTTATGTTATGTTATGTTTTGTTTTGTGATGTTTTGTTATGTTATGTTATGTATGTATGTTCGTATGTATGTATGTATGTGTATGTATGTGTATGTATGTGTATGTATGTGTATGTATGTGTATGTATGTGTATGTATGTGTATGTATGTGTATATGTATGTGTATGTGTATGTGTATGTATGTATGTGTATGTGTATGTGTATGTGTATGTGTATGTGTATGTATCAATGTATGTATGTATGTATGCATGTATGTATGTATGTATGTAATGTATGTAATGTATGTAATGTATGTAAGTAATGTAATGTATGTAATGTATGTAATGTATGTATGTATGTATGGTATGTATGTATGTATGTATGTATGTATGATTTGTATGTATGTATGTATGTATGTATGTATGTATGTATGTATGTATGTATGTATGTATGTATGTATGTTTTGTTTTGGTATGGTATGGTGTGGTATGTATGGCATGTATGGCATGAATGGCATGTATGGCATGTATGGTATGTATGGTATGTATGGTATGTACGGTATGTACGGTATGTACGGTATGTATGGTATGTAGGGTATGTACGGTATGTATGGCATGCATGGTATGTGTGGTATGTGTGGTATGTATGGCATGTATGGCATGTATGGCATGTATGGTATGTATGGTATGTATGGTATGTATGGTATGTATGGTATGTAAGGTATGTGTGGTATGTATGGCATGTATGGCATGTATGGCATGTATGGCATGTATGGTATGTATGGTATGTATGGTATGTATGGTATTTAAGGTATTTAAGGTATGTATGGTTTGGTATGGTATTGTAAATTGTATGACATGGTATGGTATTGTATGGCATGGTATGGTATGGTTTGCTCCTGTTGTCACGTTGATCAACACATACCTGAGGTTTTGACCGAGTTGGGCCCATGTGTCTGCTTCCTCCAGTGTTGTTGCTGCTTGTCGTAGGTGTGCCTCTGTCACTTGTTGTGCTGCTGCTTCTGCCAGCCTAAACATCCTTGGGTAGAATGGGTCCTGTAGGCCCATGCATGCTGTGAACTTGTATCTCCATTCTTCATATGTGGCATAGTTGCCATCATATACTGTGGGTTGGAGTTTGAGTTTGAGTTTGTGTGTTGCTGCCAAGGCTTTTACTTCATCATCTGCTGGCCCTGGCATTGTGGTGTGTAGGTGTTTGCTGTGTCTTGCTGAGAATCCCCCAGTGTTCTGGGATCAAGTCCTCTGCCTGTTGTTCACCGCTCTTGCTTGGAGATGTCTCTGGTCAGGCAGAGCTCCGCTACCATGAAAAATCCACAGCAGCTGTTGTCAGTGTTGGTAGCTGCTGTTGCAATGTTGCGCTCGCGCAGCTGTATTGTTTGTCTCTCTGTTGGCACTGGGCTCTGTCGTCTTGAGCCAAGCGTTGTTGAACGTTTGGATCATCTGTGCACAGATATGTTAGTCTACTGTACACATACATGGATATTAACATGTGTGTATGTAATGTAATGCAATGTAATGTAATGTAAGGTAAGGTAAGGTAAGGTAAGGAGAGGATGTATGTATTTATGTATGTATGTATGTATGTATGCATGCATGTATGTATGTATGCATGTATGTATGCATGTATGTATGCATGTATGTATGTATGCATGCATGTATGTATGCATGCATGTATGTATGTATGTATGTATTTACACAAAATAAATAAATAGATAAATAAATAAATAAGCAAATATTAATTTAATATATTTGAGTTCCATTATTATATACAAATTTACACAGAGTAACAGGAACAGGGCCAGCAGTTGAACGATGCTTCTATCATGGAAGGATGGGTATCAGTGGTGTTTGCTGCCAGTGCATCAGCTTAGAGATCAAAGCAGTGAGGGATGTCCGCGCTCAGTACCAGCTGCAGGTGTGTAATGAGCACCCTTGAAGAGGCTAGACTCTTCAGCGCTCTCTGGTCATATGTCAAAATTGTCTACCAAATTGGATGGTGTTCAAATGACCGGCATTTTCGATCTTGCTTGAAGGAACTTGGGGGTTTCAAACTGTCAGCCTTATCTACTTGCAATTTTCCGGCTAACGGAAACCTGCATCTTGCTCACCCGCAATGCCTAGACGTTGCTTAAGCTCGCCGACGAGCTAAGTGGTGATGGTGATGCTGAGGCACAGTGGAAGGATTGAACCCTGCGTATCGTTGAAGATCATTGAAGTACTTCAAGAAACTTCAAGAACTTCAAGAACCTTCGCGAAACTTTAGGGACTTCAAGAAATTTCAAGTAGCTTCAAGTAACTCTTCAACCTTGCATTCTGTGCTGCGTCTTTCTGTGCATGACGTTGCTTTGCTTGAGCTGCAGGCGTTTCATGGTGATGTCGAGGTGCTTCAGGAAACTTGCAATTTCACTAGTGAATTCATCACTCGATTTTCCGCTGGCGAACTCTGTTTCATGGCACACGTCCAGGAGAGCATCTCTGAGCTTTGTGGAAGAGCTCTCAGCCGTTTCTGTGGCGAACTTGAAGGACACGTGCTGAAAATACTTGCCAGTCCTGACTTAGCAGTACGTCTAGCATATTTTAGCACTTGTTCTGACAGCTGTCCCTTGAAGTCAACTCGTGAGCACGAAACCAAACAGGTCTTGCTGCCTCTGTTTTCGCTGCAGGCACAATGGCGGGTGAGCTGCTCCGGATCAGTGTGAATCAAATAGGCCTTGAATCTGCAGAAGCATCGCTCAAGCGGGGCGAGGCAGGGACAGGGACCCTGGAGGGACCCCCCACAAACCCTGCAGGTACGGGACCCGACAGGATTTGATAGGAAATAAGTAGTGTTGGGATGGCAACAGTCAACAGCTTTCAGTTGCTTTTGAGCCATAGCTGGGAGTCCTTGTTTCCTTGTGTAAGATATTTCACCTGAAGGGCAGACTTTAGTTGTGGTCGATTCAGCCGATTCACCAAATCTAGGTTAGTCAGAAACCAAAGTTCACACCGATATTCAGAAACCAACAATGCACGATGCGGAAACCAAGCATGGACGGTTCAGAAGCCAAAAGTGGACGATGCAGAACCGAACACTCAGGATTCAGAAGCCAAGAACGGATTGGTTTAGGTTTCTTTGGCGTCTATTTGCGGTTTCTTGGGGATTCTTTAGGGTTGGTTTAGGGTTTCTGTAGGGTCTATATATTCCAAATCATGCTTGGTTGCGAATCATTCTCCTTGGTTTCTGAAACCCGGTTGGTTTCCGAATCATCTTCCTTGCTGTTTCCTAATCGTTCTGCCTGGGTTTCTGAAACATGGTTTGTTTCTGAATCAACTTCCTTGGTTTCCAAATCATGTATGGTTTCCGAATAAAACCAGGTCCTTGTGTCTCTCACCTCTTTGATATCAGGCTGCCAGATTCTGGATTCTGCAAACCCGACATGAAGCCCATTGAAGCCACATTTCTCCGATGTTTGCCTTGGCACCGATGTCAGGTTTTTGATTTGGTCTATCTCGTCCCAGAATCAGTAGCTCTTTGGGAGATGCTCCAGGCTGGGTGAAACTGGTGCAGTCCATTGCTCTCTGATCTGAACAAACTGCAGGTGCTGGAAAATGAAGTTGAAAAATCTGCGGAGGCGACCCGACTTTTAGTGGAAATGATGGCGGCGCCTTGCTAAGCCTTTCCAGTCATTCTGCTCTGGAATTTTGGCGCCAAAGGGCGGCTTGTTCCATTTAGGAATCTGAACTTCGTGCATCCTGCAGCCAGGCTGTGCGAGCCGCGGGGGGAGATGGATTACTTCACTCCCCTGGCTTAGAGTTCGCATTTTATGGCTCCTCGACTCGCCAAATATCCGGGCAGGGATAATGCACTGTTGGCAGATCCAGTTGACCAGATTCTGTGACGTTACTGTGCATGTCCCCGTAAGGTACACCTGTAAAGCTGCTACTGGCGAATAATACGGATGTATCCGAGATTTCACCAGAAACAAACAACAGCAGAGTGTCACTTCGCTGCAATCAGATTCAGATCTGCTTGTGGCTTTGGCATTCGAGTCAATGAACGGTTTCGAAATGTTTCTGTGGTTTTGGATGATTAGCTTGTCCGAGGTCTGCTTTGATCGCAAGGCTAGTATCCAAAACTGTCCTGGATGCTGTACCTCTTCAGAAGACTGTAGATTTGCATTCTATGATTTCGTGCGCTGCACCCTGCAGTGGAGATTTTTGAGTTCAGAGATGCCCTATAGGCCCTATAGATATTCATATATATAGATATTCATATATATATATATATATTCATAGATTCTAGATTATTCTAGAACTTGTTGCCTAAGGTTCCAGACACTGACATGTTTCACCGATTGCTGATGTGCCTGGGATGTGAATAGAAGTCATGAACGAATCTGTGGGGCTGTTCACTGGAGCGGCAGATTGTTGCAAAGGGGGTTCCTTACGCAAACTGTGATATGCAGCGAACCCGGCAGTGAATCCAGTTGGATATTGATATTCGTGGGTGTTTGAATCATTTGAGTATTCCCTGTGCATTCCTTGAGCGTCCGTTTCTGCTCTTCATCAAGGTGCGCGCGCCTTTGGGCAAAGCAGCGCGGCCTCTACGGCCAATCGCTCCTTGGCGGATGTTTTTCTGAAAGCAGAACTGCTAGGACTGTTGCAAGCAACGTGGGTTATGCCAACGATCTCCCAAGAATTCTCAATCGGTCACGCCCCAACAGCATTCGTTTCACCAATTCGGGTGAACGATCTGATCAGACCTGCATGTCTTCGAGACTGACTGTTGTGAGCACCCCGTGCTGCAGCACCTGTGCGTACTGTAGCAGAAAGGGCATTGGTGGCAGTTGAGGCACGACTTTGGCTATATTGGTGGAATGGGTTGGGCGATATGCTGCGCACATGTTTGCCAAACAACACCGCAGCTCGGTTGATGTGTCTCTGACTTGCGTGTTGTTGGCCACAGTCGCACAGAATGCCTGAGATTGCCTGAGATGAGTTGGAATGCATGGTGTTTTTGTTGCTTAATTGCGACCGACGGAATGGAGTGGAGACTGCGTGAGAGGTGTTGGAAATTTGCAAATGCTTCCCACTCTGTCCAGTAAAAGATACTACGCTGGGGTGGCTCTGGGTGGGTCCGGGTGGGTTGGATGGCCTGGCGGCCAGGGGTTGTAGCATGTCGCAGCTTGCGTTTGAAAACAGCTCCAACGCGGCATGTGTCTGGCTGGAACTGTTTCAAGTTTTCCACGCTGAAGGTCCTATTCCTACGACTTTACAAGGATAGGCGGACATGGTGAACAATCGATGACAATCATACAAGGACAGAATAATACTGATCAATACTGACATATCCCAACTCATTCACACTCATCCCACTATCCCATGGCTCGAAGGATATGCCTTTCTGCAGAGTCTAAATGGGTGGCTTTGGTGCGGAGACCTTCTACTTCCAGGTCATTTTGTATGTGCAGGGCGACAAAGATCTACCTCTCCTACTTTTTCATCCTGAACACCGCGGATCTGATCCTTGGCTTCCTTTGTGGACTTCTTCCTGGACACACCGGTCACGGCATCGGCTACTACGAGGCGAAATCAGCGGCGGCAGAGGGCAAAGGCCCTGGTACCTACATCGGAAGGGTATCGCTGTGCTTTCTCACCGTCTGCTGCTGAAGTTGCAGAGCCAGCTCAGACATCATCATTCAAAGGACCCCATTCTGTTGAGATCCATTCAAGCTGCGATGACTTCCAAACACGCATCTTGGCGCTGTTCCAATTGCCATGTGGTGATGAAAGGGTCATTCCCACGTTGTTGGAAATGCGGACAGGAGTGGGCCACTTGCAACGATACTGCATTTGTCCCACCGGAGCATCGACAACAACGATCTTACAATCAGCAGTCTGGACAGCAACCTCCATGGGATGGTCAACAGTGGCAGGGCTCGAACTGTGGATCATGGAGCCCCCATTCCCGAGCACGACGACCTTCCAACCGAGGACGCAAGCAGAACAAGGGCAATGGATCATGGCAAGGCGGCGATCAACAGAATTACCCCAAGGGTCAGGGCAAAGGACAGGAGCACCTTGCTCCCGCACAGGTCCCAATGCCACCCTTCATGCCATATCCACAGATGATGCCCCAGTACCTTTACCTCCACCTATGAACGACAAGGGTGCAGGAAAAGGCTCTGCTTCCCCATGAATGATGATGCCAACAGCATCAATGGCACCTCCAGGTGGAAAAACCTCTACTGGGCCAACTATGTCGTGGGGACCCAATGGGCAAATGATGCAGTTCCCTATGCCACCTATGGGCTCATCCAGCGCGCCGGCATGCTCACCCAATGCGCAGAATACCACCAGTGGGCCCAAACAGGATGGTCCGGCGCAGCAGCAACTCAACCGCCTCCTCAAGGAGATGATGAAGGAGGAGGACAACTTGTCACCCCACCTACAATCCATTGCCCACGAGATCCAAAAGCAGGGCGAGAAGAGCAGCATCAAGAACTTGTCTTCGGCTGTTCCTGCATTGGGGGATGCCAAGCAAGAGTTGCTCGAGGCAGAGAGTGCTCGTGCCCAAATGTTGTCACAATGGAAGACATTTCTACAGCAGTCCGTTGTGAAATGGCGAGAGTTCGCAGCCAGCTTTCAGGCGTCAGAAAGCGCTCATCAGCAGGGTGTGCAAGCTGCACGATATGCGGTGAAGCGGGCTCAGAAGGCTTTCGGCCTGGCCTCCAAGCGAGAACAAGCTGGCAAAGATGGACCCTACACCATCTCCGACAGCGACGCTATGGAAGACCCTCATGGAGAGAGCGTCCAGAGAGTCCAAGACGGCATGAGCTCCATTGTGACCAGCTCGAAGAGCTCTCCTCCACTGCCAATGGAGACGCTGTGAATGCCAGTGCAGCGCTGCCTTTTGGAGTGGCCGGTGTGGTATGACTGATGAGTATGCACACCAAAGGCCCATGATTCGGGAGGGGATCAGCCCTGAAGCAGTCAGGCTTCAATGGTCACGTACAATTCTCACTGAGCGAAACTTTCTATCAGAATGGCAAGCGCAAGAATGTGCTTCAGTCTTAGCAGCTGAAATGGGGTCTTTGAAGCAGCTACGACTTGATGTCATCTCCTTGCCCTTGCGCAAGCGACGTACCTCATGCCAGGTCAAATTTTGCGAGGCAGTTGAAGTCCTGATTGGCCATGATGATGCGTGTGACTTTCGATTAGCCCTGATCGAACACGACTCCTTGAGTGATTTTGCAGACAAACCCTGGAGTCTACGTTCCCGCAGTTCCAGCACACATGATCAACTTCTACAAGACTTCAATGCGACTTCCTTCATGGCTCGGAGACCGTCGCAACCAGCTAGAACACCATCAAGTGTGATGTCCTCTTCTACCTCTGCATCTTCAGCTACGACCTCAACGGCTAGCTCTTCTGATGTTCCGAAAGATTGGAGGCAGACAGTCCTTAATATTTTGCTTGGTGGGAGGATGCTTCCTGCACACCTACCTTGGAACAATGCCGCCGAGATTGTGCCATGCATTTTGCATGCTATTGGCGACAATGGCCAAGGGCTTTATGGTGCTCATCATGTTCAACATCGCCCTCCTGATCTACTTCAACAAGGCCTTGAATGCCTTTTGCTGCAAGTTTGAACAGAACCACGCCCATCTACGTTCTTACGACTTGTACTTGTAGACTTGGAGATTTATGAGCCCAACGATGTCCTGCCTGGAGCCTTTCGTCGTTTTTCTTCATGGCTACCTGAAACTATCAACCGAGTTTCGGTGTTCCGCCTCCTCGGGCTTGAGACCCTCCTGATGGATCATCCCGATCGGAGTCGCCTTTGGTACAACAATATTGAGGTCGCTGCAGGCGTGATTAGCCCAATGTATTTGCAGGATGGAGACTATTTCAGAGTTCTCATCGGTGAGCATGAGGGAGGCGTTGCGTGTGAAAACTCTAGTGTCTGAAGAAGATGTAGCTAACTCCAGCATGCAACTTCCTTGGACTTCCTCCACCACATCAATCACAAACATCCGTTCTGATGTTGATCCGCAGTCACCCGTGGTCGTGTGTATCTCCGGGCGGATGCATTCCAGCAGTACATTGCACAACTGCCCGATTATGACCAGCGCCAACGAGCCCTTTACCTTTTTCCAAGATGGTGCTACGTTGAGCAATGACAATGGCGACCTTGGCCCTTATCAATATCCACCTCGGATTGAGCAAGCCACATGGTACCATGAACTGTGGGATCTTCTCTGCGACCAAGGGACTGTTGAAATGGAGGAAGAGGGCCCCATTATATATGTGGCCTCCCACTGCATCTCCCATGAGTACCACCTCGCCAATATGCAATCGCGCCCATTGCGCCACGAGACGTGGGAAGCAGGCATCAGATTTGTGTGGGAGGACCTTTTCGACAACCATGCCGTCAGCCTGGATTCACCTATACCATCCACACAAGGTGCCGTGGCAACAGTTTTGATTACTCAGCATCCACTTCCAGATCGTGCAGCATGCGTCATCACCGTGCAAGATGAAGGAGGGCCTCCCACCCGAACATGGCAAACATGGACGAACCAGCTTCTTTGCCTTTGAAGATGCAGTCGATGATTGGTGTGACATCACAGAGCTGGAGCCGGAAAACGTGGACCTGCGTTGAGGAACAGACTGGAAGGTGAAGCGCGACAGTACCAAAGACTACTGGACCGAGATGTTGAGGGATCCCAATGATGGTGTCAACTATTTCAAAAGATTCTTGCGACCCCATTTCATCAAAGGTGCCCAGAACGTGTTCTTATATCGTTTCATGCAGTTCATGAAGTACAACAGGGGAACCATGGATCTACAAACATTGATGACTAGAGTTCGACTGGAAACAGACTTATTGAGTCTTGGATGGATCTACTACCAGATTTGTTGACGTATACTAGTCCAGAAGCACTTGCATTCGTTGCACAACGTCGTCAAGAACATGAAGATCGTCAAGCTGAACTCGCACAAGTTGCAGCAGCGCTACCAGGACAAGAACCACATGTCAATGTACCATGGACAGATGAACATGCATTGGCAGCATTCAGACAACTCAATGAAAACTGAAGAGCACAGCAGAGAATGGCATTTCCCTTGGGTGACAACTTGCTAGCATTGATCTTTGTAAGTCTAGCAGATTTGATGCAAGATCAAAGGAACACACTCACAAGTATTATGACACATCGTGGACGAACACTTGACCAGTACAATGTGCAAGAACTCAGAGATCTTTTCTTGGAAATGTTTTGCACGACAAAGACAGCAGTAGGCAATCCTATGATGCAACCCTCTGGCATTGGACAGAGAAGATCTTTCCTCGTTCTGGATGAAGGAGAATTAGAAGGAACTGACGGCTATTGGGCCGAAGATGATGAAGACGGCGCAGAAGGATTCCTGGATGCTATAGAAGATGTTTTCTGGGTTTACGATGGCGCTGACTACACATGGTATCAGAGAGGTTTCAAGGAAGACAGACCAGACGAGGCAAAGGTAAAGGACAGAGAAAAGGAAAAGGAAAAGGCAGAGGACGAAGGTTCTTCAGATCAAGGAAAGGAAAAGGCCGAGGCAAAAGAAGAAAAGGCCGCTCTCACATGGTGAGTGAGGAAGGGTGTGAAGAAGAATGGAATGAAGGAGATGAGTGGAATGAATCTCATGAAGGCTATTGGGCCGATGATCAGAACTGGAATGAAGGCTATTGGGCCTATGAAGATCTGTACTACCTTGATGAGTATGGATATTTCCAGACAAAAGGAAAAGGAAAAGGAAAGGAAAGAAAGGCAAGGATGATGATGGAAAAGGAGGAAAACCAGGAGATGGCAAACGTAAGTCCAACTATGTCCAACCTCAGACCTCATAGACTCTGCCACACAGAACCAGCAGCAACCT